AGAACCAGCTGGAAACATGGCGAAAAACGCGTCCTAGCAAAACAAAATACAAAAATTAGCCAGGTGTCCGGTGGGCGATGCCTGTAATCCCAGCTACTCGGAGGCTGAGCAGGAGAATCTGCTTGAACCCTGGAGGCGGAGGTTGCAGTGAGCCAAGAGTCATGCCAACTGCACTCCAGCCTGCGCTGGGACAGAGCAACCAACTCTGTCTCAAAAAAAAAAAAAAAGAAAAATCGATTTTATTAAATTTTTGTTTGTTTGTTTTTGCTTTTTATTTTGAGACGGAGTCTTGCTCTGTCGCCCAGGCTGGAGGGCAATGGTATGATCTCAGTTAACTGCAACCTCCGCCTCCCGGGTTCAAGTGATTCTCCTTGCCTCAGCCTCTCAAGTAGCTGGGACTACAGGTGCATGCCACCACGCTCAGCTATTTTTTGTATTTTTAGTAGAGACGGGGTTTCACCATGTTGGCCAAGCTGGTCTTGAACTCCTGACCTCGTGATCCACCCGCCTCGGCCTCCCAAAGTCCTGGGATTAGAGGCATGAGTCACTGTGCCCAGCCTGTTAAATTCTTAAGTTTAGTTTTATTGTACCTTCTTGGTGAGAGTTTTTTTCTTTTTTCCCCCTAAATTTTTCCTCGAAAATCAGCCTCAAGAATTATAGGTAAATACTGCCTTTGCTTTTTTGTGTTCGTTTCTGAAATTTATTTACTTTATAGTGTCTGTTTTAAATGATTAAGCACAACTTGTTTTAGCTGGTTTTTAAAAAGAAAAGTATAACTATAAGTTCTCTGAATCCCTGAGGGATGGCTGTATTCTGAACCTGCCAGTGTGAAGTCTGTGATTTGCTTGGAATTCAGGGTTTTCCCTACTGGCTGACCTCAGAGTACTGGGAAGAATAAAATAGATTCCAGGAGTCCACACTGATATCAATGAATAAGTAAATAAGTAGGGAAAAAGGGAAAGCTTTCCCATTCAGTAGAACACTAACTCATAAATACAGAGGCAATGAGGAAATAGAAAATCACCATTTGGCAACAACTACAGTACTAAATATTTCATGAAAGAATGATCAGTGAATGCTAAATTAGTGGGCAAAACTTCAGTAAAAAAAAAAATACTGAAAAACCATTTACAGTATTTCAAAACAGCTCCCACAAGATACTTACTAATTACAAAGGGAAAGATACAGTAGTCATTTTGTAATGGAGAAACATGGCAGATACCACCATAACCAAATGATGAGGTTTAACATCACCAGGAGTGAAACAAAACAGACATCATGCACCCCCTGATAGGATTTACTAAGGCACAACACCATTCCTGCACTGGTAGCCCTGCCAAAATGCATAATCTGGGTCTAATTATGAAAAAACGTTAGCTAAACCCAAATGCAAGGAATATTCAAAATAAATGACCTACACACTGCAAAAATGTCAAGGTAATGAGACTCAAAAGATTGAGGAACTGTTCCAGATTACAAGAGACTAAAGAGACTTTACTAAATGCAATGTGCGATCCTGGATTGGATCCTAGACTACGAAAAACTAAAATGAAATTGAGACATTAGTGGGATAATTGACAAACTCTGAATAAGGTCTACAGTAGATAATGGTCCTATGGCAATGTTAATTTCCTGATTTTCACTTGTACTGTAATTATGTAAAAGAATGTCCTTGTTTTTAGGAAATAGGCAATGAATATTTAGTGGCAGAGGGGCATCACGTCTGCTACTTAAACTACTGCAGTTCAGAAGAAATTTATATGTATATGATGGGGAGGTGGGGAAGAGAGAGAATATGAGTGTAAAGCAAACATGGTAACATTTTGGAAACCTAAGTGAAGAATGTATAGTAGTATTTTGTATTAACTTCTGTAGTCTTTCTATAAGTCAGAAATTATTTCAAAATTTAAGATATTGATATCACAAGGATTCAGAAGTCAGCCTGAAAGGGCTTCCACTGGCCAACACAGGAACAGTGTGAGCACCAAAATCAGTAAGTTCAGTGGTGATTATAAACCACTGAAAACATATGAATCAGGCCAGGTCCACTGACTCACACCTGTAACCCCAGCACTCTGGGAGGCCAGATGGGTGGATCACTTGAGGTCAGGAGTTCAAGACCAGCGTGGCTAACATGGTGAAACCTCATCTCTACTAAAAATACAAAAATTAGCCAGGTGTGGTGGTGCATGCCTGTAGACCCAGCTACTCAGTAGACTGAGGCAAGAGACTCACTTGAACCTGGGAGGCGGAGGTTGCAGTGAGCCAACATTGCACCATTGCACTCCAGCCTGGGCGACTCTGTCTCCAAAAAAACGACAACAAAAGAAAACATAGGAATCTATAGTGATAATCAATAAATGAGCTGAGGATAAGAGAGGTCTCTTGTTTACAGCAGAGTATTGAAGACTAGTGAAGGGAATGAATTATACCTCAGTAGGCTGTTTAAAAAATGTGATACATGGATGAACAGATAACCAGTTGTGTTATATCTACCAAATG